CCTAAGTAAACGCCGTAGGGCTAAAAAGACTCGTGTCCGCCAAGGAGGGGCACTTATAGTAGAGGATGTACAGGATATGTTGGCTCAGGAGGATGTAGATGAGCAAGTACGACGCGACATGCGTGAGGCGGGGGTTGGTTATAAGGAGGGGCAACCTTCTAGGCGGCGCTGTAGAACTTGTGGAAAAGCTGGTCATAACGCGCGAACTTGTCAAGAAGTTATAGATATATCTAGTTCGTCAGATATAGAGAGCGATAATTAATTTAATATATTGTGGTTGATTTATTTAGGTGTAAAGTTCTGTGCCAAGAAAAAGTGATCGACTCGGTGATATGATCGACTCGCTGATAAACCACGTTAGTACTTGTACTATAAAGCTTATACCCGATAAGTGTCTCATAATATATTAGTGATTTTGACTCAAAAAGCTCGGCTGGTTCGGGCTTTCTTAAATGCTCTATGAGAATGTTAAGGTTAATACTTTTTTCGCCTCATCTATGGTTTGCAAGGAGATCTCAAATCCATGTTTTGTTTTAGAGCACGCCGCACAAGAAACATGGATTTGAGGTCTCCTTGCAAACCCTAATAAAAGTATAATCTCTCTCATTTTCCTCGACCACAGGGGACCCTAAATCTATGTTTTTTTAGAATAAGTTCTAATACATGCCGTGTTTAGTTGAAACCATAGATTTGAGGTCTCCTTACAGAACACATAAAGGCTTACCAAATATTCTGAAAATTTTATTACTCCCCTTAGAAACAGGGGATCTTATTTCCATGTTTCTTGTACGGCATACACCAAGACAAAACATGTATTTGGGGCCTCCTTACAGAACGCAGAAGGCTTACTAAATATTCCGAACATTTTTTTTTTCTCTTTGGAGACAGGGGACCTTGTATCTATGTTTTTCTCTGACGTACTAATGCGTTCATGGCGTCTGCAGGAATCCAAGAGTGACTGTATTTCCCAATTTCGATCTCAAGACCAGGGATCTTATCAGAAGTTGCCCTCGCCTCAATTCTTGGAGAAGGGGTATTAGTTGGCTGACTTAAATGGAAGCCAGGTGTTTCCTTAGGGACTCAAAAGTGTGTCTTTCCTTTCTTTTGCAGTACACGGCATGATTATCTACACTAGTAAATGAATTGTTCCATATTCTTCCTTGGGAATCTCAAATGTATGTTTTTTCAAGTTGGTACTAAATTAGTCGTTCTACACGACTCTCAGACCACTAATAATTTAAGTCGAGCACTTGAGGGCTGTACTTATAGTTAAGTTGGCGGCATAATTCTCCTGTTCCTTTCTTGGGTCGATAGATATGATTGAAGATAGCTTAATTTTGTTGCAAATCGCTATTACTCACAGTTGAAAACAGCTTAGATTGTAGCTGCTATTTAGTTCCCAAACCATCAATACAGTAATCGTCAGATAACCTAGCCCCTTGACATGAAAAGGACTCTGGGGGCAAGGTGGCCATGAGTTATTAAATTTCGAGAATGAGAACTGGATTACCTTAGGTAAGTACATATGGAGATCCTGCTCGCCAATAATTAGACATCAATAAATGTTCAGTAAATCAAAACATTGTTGCACGTCGCAATCGTTGGGCGCTGTAGCAGTATTATTTTAGTCCGCAGTTAACAGTATCTAAGTAGTCCTTTCAGCAGCCAAAGCTTGTTATGCTTGGTTTACATGCAAGCGATGCGGCAGAGTACGTATAGATCACGTGGACCAGAGAGACTATCTAACTTCTGGACTTGTACATTTGCAGTTGTAATTAGCAAGGGTTATTGTTCAGAGCGTTTCAGGCGTTAAGATGTACTGAGGCTTTATTGCTTTCAGAGTTTTGCGGTTCACTGACATTGTCATTAGGGCCACTGTTTCTTGTAATACTATTAAGGTACAGATCAGTAATCCCATTCTATGAGTTTATTCTCACAAGGAAATAATAGTGTACCAAGTAATGAGACATTAAGGCAAAGCCTTGATAATAAGCGAGATGATCTATATTTGGCCAAAGAACTTCCTCCAAAAATAAACTTGTAATTAAGAGTTAAAGGCTTAACTAGACCTCACCTGCTCACTTAGTAGCCATTAATTCCTTATACTATTCACTATTCTTTGAAACCTTACACATGTACTACCTACGCGCTTTTCAGAATAACGCGTCCATAGATTTCGCGTCATTCGTTTAACTTGACATTCTGTTCCGTCGTACCTTGCTTCACTTACTATTTAACTTTGCTTTGTTAAGGCACGAGAGAATATTAATTGCTAGTAGATTAGTACTATAATTTTGAAGAAAAGTCTTCCTATACTATAGAGTACTAATAGTGATATCACTCATTAAGTCAAGTTAGTTAAATATACCTTTAGAGGTCTTGTTATAAGGATTTTAATAAATCAGATACACCCCCCAGTTTTGTTGCATATCGCACTCTGGACAATGTCCATCTCTGATAGATGAGATACAACTCTAAACTTTGTTACATATTTCACTCTGGACAATATCCAGCTTTGATAGATGAGATACACCCCCTAGTTTTGTTGCATATCGCATCTGGTAAACCAGATATACCTCCCAGTTTTGTTGCACATCGCACCTCTGGAGGACTTCTGGACAATGTCCAGCTTTAATATAATAGTTATATCTTATAAGTTTGTTGTATATCGCGCCTCTGGACTATGTCCAGCAAGGCAAGATCTAGATGGCAAGAGCTATGAAATAGTATCTGTTGCATATCGCACTTCTCTACTTTATTTAGTTTTGATTGATCAGATAGATTCTGCCAATTTTGTTGCACATCGCACTTGTGGAGCACTTCTGGACAATGTCCATGGCCAGTTTTAATAGAACAGTTACATGTGTACATTTTGTTGCATATCGCAACCTCTGAGCGCTGTCGTTCAGGTTGGATATAAGCTAGCAGGTCCAGGGATCAGAAGACCTGTGAAGGCGAGTTTGTTGCATGTCGCACCTCTGGACGCTGTCTAGAAGGTCGAGTATTCAGGTCTGAAGACCTATAAAGGAGTCTTTGTTGCATAACGCACCTCCAGACATCGTCCAGCGGGTTAAGATCCGAAGAACTGTTACGAGTCCATACAATCCACCCTAAACGGATAGCTCTCGGAGCAGCCATCATAGACCTCGTAATGGACTTAGAGAAATCCCATGCGGAAAATTGCGAGATATTTGAAACATGAGAGACGTCTCCTCAGGCTATGTGAAATGCCTGTTATTGCTAAAGGGTCCGGCTAATATGGCAGAAGCCTCGACCATATAAGGGAAAGCTGGTAGGTATAAGCAATCCCACTGATGCTACACCGTTTTTAGCTGAGAGCAAGGCCTTGTACAAAGCAACTCATGATAGGCAGAGCCAACTTAGGGGGCATATATGAGTACCACCTTCAACTAACCTAATTTCTTGTTTCAACCTTTGGTTTTGTTATACAACGCCCTTTTTCAAGTTATTCAGTAATATAAATTTAAGTTAGAGGTTACCTACTTACATTTCCAGTGAATGTAGTAGCTTAGAAGCCTCCATGGGTATCTTATAACTGTGGGAGGTAGCGTTAATTACGTACTCATATACTTAGGCTCTAGTGTCTATCTTGAAACTGCCTCGATGTTATGGGACATGTCCTTGATTTGATTAAGGAAGCGACTTGGAGGAGCAACTTACGATATGTTCAAGTGACAGAGGGAACATTCTACTATGTAAGATATTTTTCTCACCTTAATGCGTGCTCCTTCGTTGTATCTTGCTTTCCTCGCTTACGAGTAATTCCCACTTAACTTAGACTATATACTATCGGACACCGATTTATAAGTTCTGTTTTATCTTTCTTTCTCGTATCTGGTTTACTACTTGGTTTACCTTCGTACTATTCACGCTACATGTTTTCTCTACCTTATTTAGGTATACATACATCTTTACGTTCTGCTCTACCACTCTAGCGTCTAGAAGGGAAAGACATAGATAGATTCCCCTAAATCCCAAGCACTTGACAACAAAGTATTAAATTTACTTTACCCGTATGTCTCTTATAAAAATGTAGTGATATTTACGTTTATATCTTCTAAACTTCCCTGGTATTCATTTACGAAGGTACTATAATATAAAAACCTAAGTCTAGGGTCTCGTCTCTTAATCTTAATTATAGGGAAGAATTACTACTACTAGAGAGACAAGATAGAAAATAAACTGCGTCGTAAAATAAGTATAGTTTTTGTAAAGATAAGATAATATTACGAGTAGGGATAATTCTATAATTGTTATGGTGGGGATCAAGGAATAGATTGTTCGCAAGGAGTGAAGAGAGACGCTCTTCGCACTCCTTAGGTATTTGTCTATCTACGGAAGGGTACACCCGCAACTTCGCTAAGCGAACCCTTATTCACTAAATCAAAAACTGTCACAATAATCCACTCAAAGAGGGAAAAGATTAATGAAATTACAATTAGGTATCTGACTAATACAGAAACCCCTCTTTCCTCTTTCCAAAACACCATACTAGGCATCTACCCACCTACCTACTCTTCTCAGAAAACGCCCCCCTCACCTCCCTCATATTAAAACTCCACGCCAACGCCCCACCCGCAACAAAAAACAGATACCCCCACCAAACCGCCCCAACACACCCCCGATCCACCCCCCAAGCAAAAGCCCACCCAGCAACTGCACTCCCCACCGCCCTCGCAAGACTGCTAAGCATATTCCCCGCACCATGAACCGTCCCCAGAACCGTTTTAGCAGGGGCTGCTTCAGTAAGCAGGATAACGGTGCTAGGAATAGCGATGGTGCGAGCCATGACTTGGACACAGAGGATGAATGCTATGCCCAGCCAGCGAGTCAATCCCGATTCGGGGAGGAGTGAGAGATATGGAGCGAGGAGGTAGGCGAGGGGGAAGAGGAAGAGGGCGATGCGGAAGCAGCCTAGGGTCCCGAGGTGGGACTGGAGACGGGGGTAGATGAAAAGTTGGAGGAGGATGCCGCAGAGGCCAAAGCAAGAGAGCCAGAGGCCAATAGAAGGAGTTTGTAGGCCGAGACCGCCGGTGAAGGAGAGCAGATTCCAGTCTACATTTGCGGATGAGGGGGCACTGAGGAAGACAGGGAAGATATGCATGAATGCTGCGTTGTGGAGGGGAAGAAGACCGAAGGAAACTAGAGTTACAATGACATCTCTGGTCCAGATTTTTCTGAATGCTAGACGTGATGGTGGAGAACTGGAATTGGATGGAGGGGCTTCGACTTCGATTTCTTCTGGGTTGAAGGTCTCTTCTATGTTGATAGCAGAGTATTGACTTGAATTGCGTCGCAAGATGAACCGGCTGATGAGTCGCCTTGTAGAGCTCCCGATCATCACTCCAAAATCGATGTCATCTTCCTTGCCCGGAAGAGTTTCACGCAATCCAAATACAGCCAGGAAAAGACTTACACCAAGTACAGATGCATTGGTCATGGCTGGCAAGGCATACGGATACTTCAATGCCCACGCAACACCTTCGGGGTAATGGTAGATATTGAACCATCCATTAGATCCGAATAACAAGGGTAGATTCATTACTGGATCCGCCAGACACCCTCCCAACGCTAATCCTGCAACCATTCCAGAATTGAAGACCAGCGGCAGTACCAAGAAAGCTCTCGTCTGGTATTTCCTTTCCTTCACAATCTCCGCAGTCATTGTTCGCATCACACCTACATTTCCATTCCCAATGCCCGCCAGAACGCGCCAGAACATCAACGCGCCTATGCTTCGGGAAAAACCAAAGGCCATGTTGGCGATGACGCTGAGCAGCAAGCCAACCACGATAGTTGGCTTTCTGCCGTAGAAATCTGATATGCGACCCCATAGCATGCTTGTAAAGAATTGCGCCAGGGGGAAAGCTGCGACTAGCAGGCCGGATAACTTGGAGATTTGCTGGGTTGCGTGGTCATCGTCGGATGTTATAATGGACTTTATAAGATAGTAGATGTATGGAAGGAGGCAGGTATTCGAGAGTGGTTCCGAGAGACGGCATAACGCGAGAATGAAGAGCTGGGACTTATTGGGGAGGTCAAGCAATCGAATTGGTGCTGGCTCCAAGGACTTCGAATTGTCTTCCGTGGCAGTATCTAAGCATACTAATTAGCATTCCCATTGTCGTTGGCTATGGACTGTGGTCAATGCCTACCGGTGCTTGGTAACAATTCCTTTTCTTCCTCTGCCGAATGTGCCATCCTGATACGCGTATCCGACTTCTGTCGTCCTTTGCTACTAGTACTCGTCTTGTGTCGTTATCGTTTCCGCGCCGTCATATTAGTGTTGGGGACGAGCGTAGGACGAAGAATGTTCAGATGGAGCACAAAGTTTGGCTGAGACAAAACATATCGGCGGCAGTGGCACACCAAGTACTACAGTGCGTAGTCGAGTACAGCGAGGGAGATGACCAAGGCGGAAGGCAAGACCGATGGATGAAGTGAACAGGCGCAATAGTCGACGCGAATCTAACGATCACGGGTAAGTAAGTACATACGACTGCGAATACGCTGCCTCGGCTGCGTCGCTTGGGATGGGAGCTTGGGCGGTGCTGGCGCCAGTGCCATTTTGTACTGTACGGAGTGAGGTGGCTTGGAGAGTTCAGCATCGAAATGGTTTCAGGCTGTGGCCATCTTGCGATTGGATGAATGGATATTTGCAAACAATATAACGCCTTGGCTGGATCAATTATGCAGAGTCCGAGTACGTCTCGTCCCGAGACAACAGACGAATGCGTACTATGCAGATTTTGGGTAAAAGGATGTGGATGTGGATGTGGATGATGTGATTGAAGTGCCGATTAGAATTTATGGGTGACGGCAACACGGCAAAGAAGAGTTGAGGGGTAAATGTAAATTGATTGATTGACGTCAACAGGACTAGCTGCTCGCTAGGAAGGCTAGGCTAGCTGGCTGGCTCGTCTCAATTAGTGCAGGTGTTACTTCTAGTAAATTAGCTCTACTTGTACCTGACTATACCTGACTAGCCAGACTAGGTACAGCAGCCGAGCTTGGGGTAAACCCCTGATCCCCTGGAGAGCATGACCCAATGATGGGCAAGACTTCACGAACCACAACAGATTGGATCCACCGATCACAACAACATCCCGACGACATGTCCATGCTCAAGTATATTCTGTCGCAAAAATCTCTTTGAACGTCTTTCATACTCAAATTTCCTCAGTTATTTTGGTCATTATATATCTATATGCAGCTTGGATATCGTTTATAGAACTTTCCCTCATCAATCATTATGATTATTTTATTACTCCTTCCAATCCATTCGGCCTCCGAATGTATCTTGCCTCGTATCCTGAGCGCAACAATGGACATCGATATCTCTTCTTTCCCCCAAAACGTGTGTTGATGTGCTCCCCGCCCATCTCAATCAACTATTTACTTATGGCATCGTAAAGCAGTCTGAACAACGGACACTTACTATCCACGATCGTTTGATTGACCATTGTCGCTCCGCTACTTCCATCCAGGCCTAGTACTGCCACATCTGGTCCGCTGGAACCCAGTTCTGGCCATCCGGGGCCTAGTTCAGGGTCCTTTGCAAAGTCCGCCCACGCTTTTTGCATAAATCTACTCAGAGCGATCTGTTGGTCTGTCGCACCTTCCCGGTCATAGGTTCCGAAAACCAAGGGAATTTCGGAAGAGTGATAGACTTCCAGTTCGTATCCAGCTTTCTTACCCGAATTATTCGGGAAAGTCGTGTTGAAATAATACCGGTAAACCGGAGACCCAGCGTCAATGGTCTTTTGCGCATGTAATGCCTGCGACTATTCAATCATCGTTAGTCTCATTCTCTTGGTAGGATCGATTCCTCAAAACCTACACATTGGAAGATATAATTGGTAAAAAGAGCGTCACTCGCTGCCAGATCCGAACTATAACCGGTGAACGTCGCCATTATTGCAGCCACCAGAGGTGGACTAAATCCAAAGCTGTCGTTTACGTATTTCGGGAAATCCTTCTGGCTACGAACATAGATAGAACCCTCGTTGTTATTCGTACCCACAAGTATCGGGACTTGGGCGAACCTGCGAGCAGCACGTCGAGCGACTGGGTCTCTCACAGTTGTCTTGTTATCATAGGCTGGAACCCAAGAAAGATTCTTCTTCTCAACGATATCCTTGATGACAAGTGCAGGGGCCTCTCGAATACACGTGAGGTTACTTGCTGTGGTAGAACAATTCAACTCAGCGGCCAGAGTGGCCCAGCTTGGTGTCGTATCCAATCTTTCATTAGGCAAGACCGATATCTGTCCGGATTGCATGATGGCAGCTCGGAAAGGTGCTCTGTCGGGGTAGGTTGTCACCAGTGCATCCACACTTAATGCCCCAGCAGACTCGCCAGCGATGGTAATTTTCGATGGATCACCGCCAAACGATCTGATATGTTTGGATGTCCACTCCAGGGCCATTCGCTGATCGAGAAACCCAAGGTTTCGTTCCTCCAAGGGCAATTCACTTGAGGCGGGAAAGCCAAACACATTCGTTCTGTAATTAGCAGAAACAAAAATCACATTCTCGACTCCCGCAAAACCAGAACCATCATACATAGGATGACTGGCATACCCAAACAGCAAAGATCCCCCATAAACCCAGAAAATGACTGGAAATCCGCCTGGTGGAGGAATTGTTGTTGGAGCAAAAACATTCAGATAAAGACAATCTTCACTCTCTTCTGGAGCTGGATTGTTGAACAGAGTTGTGGCAAAATCTCTGCTGGCTTTTGGATCTAAATTCACTCAGCATTTTTCTTTAGCCGCCCTGACCCAAACTCTACTTACAGTTGAATTGCTGGATACATGCAGGTTTGCTTCTATCTGCTTTCAATAGCCCCTTCCAAGGCCGTACTGGAGCTGGGGGTGCAAATCTCTTGGAAGGTGCTGCGAATGGAACACCAAGAAACTTGCGTACGCGGGCAACACCTCCGGGCACTAGGTTGTCGGACACAGGAAACTCAGTTAAAATGCCTGATTTGCTCTTAGTACTTCTATTGCGATCTCTTGAGCTCACAAACTCACCCTCGACTTCCCCATCTGCTAAGTTGACCTGTAGATTTGATGTTTCTGTTTCTGCAAACACCAAACTCAAGGAGACGAGCACGAGAAGTGCTCTTGCAATTCGATTTACCATGTTGGGTGATCAGATGCTGTATCAAAACGAAGAGACTGACTCTCTTGAGACGACACAAGAGGATGAGGGGAATAGGAAGCCAAATCCGCGAGTGCCCCGCCCTCCTATTATACACATTTTAGAATTTTATCCATTCACTGTGCACTCAGTCTCAGCTCTTGGTATTTACCGCCCATGCATGATCGGCCAGAATTACGCATTCGCTTTTATGGCGGCCAGTTATTTCTCGACCAGTTTCGAACTGGGTCAAGGTTTCTCCCGTCGACTGCCTCGGCAAGGCAAAGCAAGGACCTACCATGATGACTAGAGCCATCAAGAACTGTAGTATGCTGCATTACTACGCCATGCTCCCTTTATCGATACTTTTAGCTATCAAAAGGCATGGCTGGATTGAGATTTTCATACTTGAGAATATATTGGCAATATCCATCAAAGGCAGCAAGCGATGTGTCAAAGGATCTTCCCCATTACGTTATTTACCGTTCTGGAAACGGGAAACTAGCTCACTCTTTCAGCCATTGGATCACGGCTCAGGGTCATCTTGCTCAATTGAAGGTAGGCAGAATTCAAAGGATTAGAGTCTACATTTGTCACTCGGATCATTGGCTTCCTTTACAAACGTGAAAGCCTCATCTGTCTCCCACCCGGTGAACTTTGCTGCAGATTAGCTGCTATTTCCAAATTACCCACTGTACCTGAATCAGAAACGGAGGCCGATATACTTCTACAGTACGATCGGATTTAGCAAGGGCGGGTTCCGGTTTCATCACCGCCTTCTTGAGCTTACCGGCCTGCGTAGCCAATTCATAAATAGTCTGAGCCGTGCACACGGGAGAGGCTGACTGGGCAGAAGCCAAGCAATGAGGTGCGAACGGTAAACAGCCAAGCACGTGATGTTTCCGGCCTGTCCGCTAGATATATCTTAAATGGACCTCCATCTACCCCGCACTCGCACTCGTGAGCCAGCGGGACGGTATTTGAAATCTGAATCTGATAACTCAAACGCAGATTTTCAACATGTCTAGAGCGAGACTTTGGCAATACCCTTGGCATACCGGATTTCAGAGTTCTCGCAATTCACAAAAGTGTCGTTGTCCCATAATTGGATTTGGCCGAATCCCGCTCACTGGGATATATCTGGGTGCGTGGAATTATTAGTTTCGCCCAGCGAGTAAGGCTGAGTACACGGACGAGTACGTTTTACCGGTACCGTTCATTGGACTATTCTTGGCGGAAAAATCACCGAAAGTGTTTCTGTTTGAGGGTTCCTCTTTTTTTCAGGGTCCAGACCTGACTTCGTATCTCGTATGTTTCTATTCATTGTGCTTCGGACTAGTACTTAATGTCCAGAATGAATGCTCGATGGCGATTCGTAGTAATAATACCGAATAGGGATTTGATTTTCAGTAACGGAATGGTATATAGCCTTTTTGTTATCCTGACCGACGACTGTCAAATGTGCCTAAGTCGAGTGAGCCTTTTCCTAGTACAGATGTAGCGTGCCATCAAGCCTACGCTGATCTCCAAGCCCATCCCGAACCCCCCTCGCAAACTCACCCAAGAAAACTTTGTGATACCTTCAAATGTCTACCACTCCGGCACATCGAATAGCAAGTCCACATGTCCGCAGGGGTATCTAACTAGTCTGCCAAACGTCCACATGAGCTTTACCCCTCCTCTGCACCTCTAACATGTATGTAGTACAGTATAGTACTTATCCATCCACGGCGTTCGCCACATGACTTGGCCGAACCATAGGGAACCATTAAGCTTCTTCTCCCTTTTTTTCGATTCCTTTTTTTCACGGGGGTATGCTTCATTGGATGGGGAGAGACCTGAACTGCGGGCCGATGCTGGCGAGGCTGTTTATTTGCCGCCTAATCTATCGTCGGGTCTGGGTATCTGGGTTCTTCTGCATTTGCGCGGTGTGGGCTGCAGCTGAGTTAAGCTGTGCGACGATTTTTAGCTGAGAGCTCTTTTTCGTTTTTTGGAGAGAGGTGGGGAAATACAAGAGGGGCTGGTGAGAACGTATTTTTGGGCTTTTTTTTTTTGCTAGCTTTTTGGACCTTGTTGAGTTTTATTTGGAAACTAATAGTTTTTGAACGTCTGCTTTCTGGTTTGGGACTTCTTTGTTTGTCCTGTCAGCTTGCGGCGCGGGAAAATAATACATCTCGGAACTTTTTCTCGAGAGTATTGATTCGATGTAGCAAGCTGAGCCAAGGGGAGGTATTGATATAGAGGTATTGGGCACCTTTTTAGAAAGAAGAGAAGCTGTCTAGGATAATCGCTGTCAGAAAGGATTGTATTTGGAGGGTGATTGGAATCATGGCGAGTCTCATGGCGAGTCTCATGGGTCCAGCAGCTGGAGTTGCCAAAGTGGTGGTTGTTCCTTCGAGAGCTTCCCTCCGACTTCACGTCTTATGTGGATTCTTCGGGTTGGCTTCTTTCATGTGGGGGTATGTCTCCCGTTTCTTTCCCAATCCATCGAATCCTACGCTTCCCGGCAATCGTATACTTTCAAGCTGAATAGAAACTGAAATCCGAATACAGATACAATATCGGCATCATGGCAACGATCTATGTCCACCCGGGCTTCAAAGAGTCGCTCCATAACCCCGACGCCGCACATACCGGGCTGATCACCGCGATTTACTACCTGGGGACCTGGACGAGTTATATTTTTATCTCGCATCCGCTTTCGGATTTCCTTGGGAGGAGGTATGCGGCGTCCTCGGGGGTGTTTGTTGTTTGTTTGGGGGCGGCGTTGCAGGCTGGTGCGAGTGGGTCTGGGGCTTTTGCTATGATGATTTGTGGGAGGATTGTTTGTGGGATGGGGGTTGCGGTTATTTCTACTAGTGTGCCTATGTATCAGAGGTTCGTGGCTGGATTTTGTTTGTGGTGCGTGTTTTATAGATGGGGTGAAAGTGCTAATTTGTTTTGGATAGTGAGATTGCACCTGCGAGGCAGAGAGGGAGGTATGTGGTTATGAATCATATTGGTCTTGTTGCTGGGCTCGCTTTTGCTTTTTGGTAAGCGACTTCTTGGTATTTTTGATTCTTGGCTGATTTTTGAAAGGGTCGGCTACTGGATGAGTGCTTGGAAAACTCCACAGGGAAATTATTACGGATGGAGGTTATCAATATTGGTTCAATTCATCCCTGCACTCACATTCATCATCGGAGTCTTCTTTGTTCCAGAAACGTAATCTACCTCTCCCTATCCCAAGATCTCCGAAAACTAAACTTCGGTAGACCTCGTTGGCTCATAGAGAAAGGCCACTACACTCGCGCCCAATCCTCTCTCGCCTATCTAAGAGACGCGCTTCCAGAAAGCGACATAGTTTCCATCGAATTTGAATCCATCAAAGCTAACGTAGATGGACACCGCAACACAGCAGAAGAAAAATGGACAGCATTATTTACACATCGCCCCCTTTTTAATCGGTTATGGCGCGCGGCACTTTTGCAATTCATGGCGCAGATGTGCGGCAATACTGCGATGAAATATTACCTCCCTTCCATCTTTGCGAGTTTGGGTATTGAACATAGAATCACGTTGTTGATTGGGGGGATTGAAAGTACGCTGAAGATTGGCTGTACGATTGTGGAGTTGTTGATTATTGATCGCGTGGGACGGAGGACGACGTTAATAATTGGCTGTGTAGTTATGGGGATAGCACTTCTGGTAACCAACTTTCCCTTTCTCCCCTTCCAACCAGATCTACAATCCAGTTCTTAAAAGCATATATGCGTAAAACATCCTAACCACCCCAGGTCAACGGCGCACTCCCCCAAGCATTCCCAAACAACACCAACACAGTGGCCGACTACACCTGCATCGTCTTCATCTTCTTCTACACCTTCGGCTACTCCATTGGCTTCGGCCCCGCAGCGTGGGTCTACGGCTCCGAAATCTTCCCTACGAATGTTCGTGCTAGGGGCCTCAATTTCGCGGCGTCGGGTGGTGCTATTGGGAGTATTATTGCGGCTCAGACGTGGCCGGTGGGCATGGATAGGATTGGGAGTCGGACGTATTTTATTTTTATGAGTGTAAATTTTGTTTCTGCGATTGTGAGTTTGCTTCTTTGTTTTATGTCCTTCTGTTGGATGTTTTTCTTGGAAGTGGGGGTTGGGATGGAATGGTGGATTTGGTTTGTTGGAAGGTGTAGTAAGCTGATGGTTGGATAGATCATTGTCCTTGCGTATCCAGAGACTAAACGGAGGTCGTTGGAGGATATGGATGCGCTGTTTGGAGATTATCATCCTTCTCATGGTATAATAGCTGGGGGTGGAGCTGGTGCCAGGGAGGAGAATGGAGATGCTTATGGCGATGACAATAGCTTGGGCAGAGAGAGTGTTGTTGTTGGTGGAAAGGGTGTCGGAGGTGATCGAGATAGTAACTGAAATATTCGGGAAACCTGGGCTGATGATCTGCTTACAATTTCTAGAGGGTTCATTGTTGGAAATTTTGAGAAGTAACATGTTATACGCAATGGAAACATTATTGTTTGTTAATGATCAGTGCCGGATTGCTTAGATTATAAGATATCATTTGCGAATAAGATATTGCTACATTTGTGGATATTGTTCTGTATGGTCTAAAATACTAATATCATATGTCTTTGACTAATTATAAGGCTAGAATCCTCGATGTTGGTTCGCCTAGTACTCTTACATAGTAGTCGAATGGAGTGAAGCAATCAGTCCTTGTTCGGTGTCTCGTTAGTTAAAGAAGAGAAGGTAGCTAGCAAGTCTACAATGCATACTTGCCAGTGCCAGGTCACGTGGATAAATAACGTGTGGTTGTTGCGACACTAGATCTATGATTTTGTATTTTTTTTTTCAGACAGTCCAATTAGGGTAAGGTAACATCCATCTACGCACAGTCTTTATTCCCGATTCACTGTTGAACACGATTCACCAAACATCTCCATTGCTCCACAAATTCTAAGCGAGGACGCCGAGGAATAGGGAATATTCACTAATTGGAACCTCATTTCAATACCCAAGCCAAGGAAACAAATCATATGTCTTGTAGCACAAGATCTTATCAAGTTCTCGCAAATTCACGAACGAGGAAGCAGAATTTGATAGGTCCCTAGAATCGACTGACTGCCAAGGAATCTCCTCATTGGAGGGATTTCCCCAGAAAAACTGCCCGCAATCGAGAACTCGAAGCGACCCCTCCAAAAAGCTAACAGCATCATACCCCCAAATCTCCCGGGTAAATTGAACCGCAGCCCATTCTTGGTCTTGGTATTTCCAAATAATGGGAACTGGATACGATATGCTGGTTTTAATACGCTTCGCTCACCTGCGTGATGATGGTGAATCGTCGAATGGGAATCTGGGGTAATGAAAGCCTATTCTTCTTTTGGATGCGGGGTAAGAAACTCCGGGGTATTGTTGTTTTTTGGATTGAACTGCAATCTTTTATGGTCTAGCAGTGTAAGATACCCGGTCCGAAGATGTGAATTGGGTTTTGGTGAGTATGTTGTATAAAACACCATTTCCCTTGTGTGATTATCCAAGAGAAGTCGGTCACAATATTGCATTAGGTGCTTTTTGGAAACCTCTACGGGCACTTCACTGCAACCAAGAGGTTAATGACTTGCGGTGAATCGAGGCGGATGTAGAAATCAGCAGCACAGCACTGTTACCCCGCTAAACATATCGTACCACCTTCCACCACCTTTTCCGTTCAACATCAGCAACTCATATTACAAGAAATCACAGACATCAACTGGGATTAAATTTGAAGTACTCAGCAATCATGGTCGGTCTTAACAAAAGACGAGAGGAGGAGCTCTCTGACCCAGTCCTCACTCGAATGGTTGAGGAGGACAAAGTTATCTGGTACAAAAAGTCCAACCTCCGTTTTCTCTACCTTATGCTTTTTCCAGCATGTATGGCAATTGAAAGTACCTCCGGATTCGATTCTCAAATCATCAACACTGTCCAGATCGTTCCTTCGTGGCAGAAGTGTATGTCCTTTGCCATCTTCCCCTTTCCTCCTTCACTAACTACTCAGACGTTAATTTTGTTATTTAGATTTCGGACACGCTACGGGAAAGAAACTTGCAGACGGCGCACTCGAATATGCAGTTGAAGAGAACCTGAAAGGTTTCCTCGGTGCGGCATATAACCTTGGTGCTATCCTAGCTTTGCCTTTCGTGCCATGGCTCAATCAAAAATATGGGAGAAGATGGTCTGTGATATTTGGCTCAGCACTTAGTATCGTAGGCGCGATACTTCAGGGATTCTCGAATGGAGGTAAGCACTTCAACCCCTCCTTCTCTTTTTCAAAACCTGACTGGGAATAGTGGCCAGTTATATCATAGCACGAATGTTGCTCGGCTTCGGCATCCCTTTCTGCATCATTGCGGGAGCTGCTATGATTGGAGAACTCGGTTACCCCAAGGAACGACCTATTTTGACTTCGCTTTTCAATGCTTCATACGGAGTCGGTCAGATTATTGCTGCGTCTATTGCGTTGGGAACGGTCAATATACCGAATGATTGGGCGTGGAGAATCCCTTCACTTCTTCAGATTGTGCCTTCTACGATACAGATATGCTTTATCTTGTAAGTATTGCTCCACCTAACAGTTTCAGAATGAACATAATACTGACCACACCAGCTTCATCCCCGAGAGTCCCAGATACTTGATCAGTAAAGACAGAAACGATGAAGCATACGCTATCCTCGTCAAGTATCACGCTGAAGGCGACCGTGATTCCATATTTGTGAAAGCAGAAATGGCACAAATTGAAGCTACACTCAAAATTGAGATGGAAGTTGCGAAACAATCTTGGTTAGATCTATTTCGAACCTCAGGAATGCGTCGTCGGTTGTTAATCACATCTTTTCTCGGCTTATTCACCCAATGGTCTGGGAATACATTGATTTCGTGAGTCCCAACTACATATAATTCGCATCGAGTGCTAATTTAAAACACATAGATACTATCTCAACGACCTCCTCAGCCTCGTTGGAGTCACTGACAAAATCGTAAAATCCAAAATCAATGTTGGAATCGCATGTTGGGGCTTCGTCTGTGGCATCGCCTGTGCTCTCACAGCAGCTCGATTCAAGCGTAGAAAAGTGTACCTAACTTGCGTCTGCTGCTTGCTTCTTATTTACTCCGGCTGGACCGTCTCAATGGAACGATACTTGAACACCAAAGCGCACGCTGCGGCAGTTATGACAGTCTTCTTTATCTTCATTTATTCGCCTGCTTATACTCTTGGGTATAATGCTCTTACGTACAGTAAGTCAAATCCCTCCACCATTCATAAGAGACAGGTACTAATGATACTCCTCAGCTTACCTCGTGGAGATCTTCCCATACGCAGAACGATCCAGAGGAATCGCCTGGTTTCAATTCTTCGGCAAAGGAGCTGGCTTTTTTGCCACATATGTGAATCCCATTGGATTGGCGAGAATTGCTTGGAAGTGGCTGTTGGTGTACTGCGTATGGCTTATGTTTGAGATCGTCTTTATTTACTTCCTGTTTCCGGAAACGTATGGACGAACCTTGGAGGAATTGTCGTTCCGTAAGTGTTCCAATGTCCCATGGAGCCAAGGCTTGTCTGATGTATGGCAGTATTCGAGGGAAGTGAGAAAGCGGAGAGAGCCGTCATTGCTGTTGAGAAACAGATTGATGGAGGAAAGGGAGAGGCTGAAGAGAGCAAGGGTGGAGAAAGTATGCACATTGAGGAGACAAAAACGAGAGACTCTAAGAGTGTGGCTTGAGGAGACTATCGTTGTGTTCCGTTTGCCACTGTTATCCTATCAAAGCAGGGAGTCTTCTTTTGGGAATCATATGAGGATTTGGGTCACCGGAGTGAATTGTATACTTTGATTGAGACAAGTGAGAGGACAAAGTTCGTCGATTTACTTGATTACGCGTCTTGAAATATGTGAAGAAAAGGGGAGGGGACAAGGAGGGGACGTTGCCATACTTGATTCGATATATTTCGACAACGCCTTTTTTTTACAGATTTCGGTTGTGTGTCTGTTGACAATTCGAGGTCTTACTTCGGATTGACCACTAAGACTGCCATTTAGCCTTGCCTCATTCCACAGAAAATAAGCACTGTAAAAGTCCGCACATGGCCAAAGAATTGGGTTTCGGACACATAAATCTATTGCGTGTATTCAATTAGGGGCACGAGATCACAGAATGCAAAACCCCAAGGAAAAGGAGAATTGTTTCTCAACCCGAGACTGCCAACTAGAAGAAATTCTTAACCAGCCACGTCGGCCTTGTGCTGTGTTGTGCGGAGTATTCCGTGAGGCTGTAGTGTACCTCAGAGTTTACATGAAATCGCTAAACGCAAGGTGTTACCAGCCGGACAGTATGGGATGATGGAAGCCAGACGCAGGAACAAAGCTTCTTTTTCCAAAGTCTAGAATAACCGGTTAGATTCCGCCACGACCACGGACATTCTAACGCCCTCATCCTGCTGTTAAATACTCAGGATGTCCACTTGAGATACTGGTAATCGAACGGGTCTCTGAATCAAATAGCCCGAACTGTTCAAAACAGCTTCATGTTCTTACCACCACGTGGATTTTGCCACCAGCACGAACTCCGACCCCGAGTGTCGACAATCGCCACTAACCGTTGTAACGTCTCTTTCAGGTTTCTATTTTGCAATTTGAAGCCATCTAGAGGTAAATTCGCAGAGTCATCTTTATCAAACTGCCCAGCCGTCTCCGCTGCATTTCTTGGATCGATGTCCTCCTCGATCCAGATGTCCGACGAAAGCAAGAAACAAGCTTACGCTTATCACCTGGCCCCACAATAAAAATGATTCTAGCTAAAGGAAATCTTCGTACAAGTTTGCCCCACATCCACTTAAAATAGCTAGCCAACATTCGGAGGATTCGTTTATGAAACAAAGTCACGTGAACGGCCTCGCTTCGCATGAGTAAAGGGGTCCGACTCTCCTTGGCTGCCGCTAAGCGAGCCCAACACTCAAACATCTACACCACTGGAACTGTAACAGGCACTCGTCAAGTCCAAGCGCACACCTGACGTGGAAATCCTACCATTGGACAGTTCACTCGACAGCGAAATTCTCATGGCAATTGGCCAATGAACATGATTCTAACTCGCACTTCGATGTAAGCGTTGACGAGCGAAAAAGCCGAAGGAGGCTCAAACATCGTATGCCATGTAAGAGGCTGACGCCAGCCAAGAGAAACGTCTAGCGCAGTCGAGTGGGATGGTCGCAAAGCTATGATGTGCAATCGAGTTATGGGGGTTCGTCATCACGGTCCGAAAATCTGATCAAATACCAAGTGTGCCCCAGTTCTTTAATCTTCGGAAAAATCTCTATCAGAATGCTGGCTCATTGACTCCTTCCCTAACTCGTTTTCTTCGTTCTTCTTTTATTCATTCTTTAATATCCCCATGTGAATGCTTGATATCTTGCTAGTCGAGATCAATCCATTATCATTTCCAAGTGTTTTTTTGCCTTCAGATACCCTTTCTGCATCTACGCAAATCATATTTAAAAGTTGAAAATGAAGTTCGCGATCGTCGCCATTGCCTTGGTATTTGGTGTTCAAGCCTTGGTACTACCACAAGATATCGTTGAGAGGGAGACAGGAATCACCAGTATGTATCCTACCCACATTAATTCCAAACAACAGTCTCCCCACAAAAATACTCTTCCCGTTAACCCGGTTAAGCAACCACTAATGGCCCCACAGAAAACCCTGATGGATCCACCACTGTTGGAGATAAAAACACTGGAATCACCACTAATCCAAACGGTCAGACGAGTGTAGGTGGCAAAAATGGCATCAATATTGGTGGCAAGGCAGAGACGGGCAAAAAGGGCAACGGAACTGAAAGTGTTGCGCCAAAAAAAGAAGGTAAGCCGGAAGTAGAATCCAAGCTCACTATCGATGGAAAAAAACCTAAGGAGAACGAGGAGGCAATTGAGGAGTTTCTGAAAGCAACTGGTGGAACTAAAAAGGAAGAGAAAGAAGAAAAGCTCGCTAAAGAGAAACCAGGAGAAGGGGCACCCGCGAAAGAGGGCGAAAAAGCTCCAACTGAAGGTAAATCAGTCTCTCGTTCCTGTTCAAGAGATTAAAACTGACAATGATACCTTATCAGGGGGCGCTCGAGAAGGAAATACAACAAGACCCGCTGAAGGCGGTGGATCACAGGGACTCATTGATTTGATCAGTACGTGCAAACTTCGTCCAAGACCCAATGTAATGTGTGTGAGTACAAGCCAACTGAGAATAATCAGACGCTCTCCAAGGCGCAAGCGGCGGTAACAAGCCCAAGAATGGCACTGGAACTGAGGGTGGAAAACCAGTGGCAGAGCCCAAAAAAGAGGGTGAAAAACCGGCAGGAGAGCCGAAGCCAGCAGGAGAACCGAAACCTGAGGGTGCAAGACCTGAGGGTGCTAAGCCTGAGCCTGCGGGAGAAGCAAAGCCAACAGGGACAGTGAAGCCCGAGGGGGGCAAGCCAGCAGGAGAGCCTAAAAAAGAGGGTGAGAAGCCTGAGGGGGCCAAGCCAGAACCTGCTGGAGAAGCGAAACCAACAAGCACAGCAAAGCCTGAGGGTGGAAAACCAGCGGCAGAGGAGCCAAAGAAAGAGGGTGAGAAGCCCGAGGGGACCAAGCCAGAGCCTGCGGGAGAAGCAAAGCCAACAAGCACACCAAAGCCAGAGGGTGGAAAACCAGCAGGAGAGGAGCCAAAGAAAGAGGGTGAGAAGCCAGCAGGAGAGCCCAAAAAAGAGGGTGAGAAGCCTGAGGGGACCAAGCCAGAGCCTGCAGGAGAAGCAAAGCCAACAAGCACACCAAAGCCAGAGGGTGGAAAACCAGCAGGAGAGGAGCCAAAGAAAGAGGGTAAGAAGCCAGCAGGAGAGCCCAAAAAAGAGGGTGAGAAGCCTGAGGGGACCAAGCCAGAGCCTGCGGGAGAAGCAAAGCCAACAAGCACACCAAAGCCAGAGACTGGAAAGCCAGCAGGAGAGGAGACAAAAAAAGAGAGTGAGAAACTAGCAGGCGAATCGAAGCATGAAGCAGAGGGTGAAAAGCCAGCTGGAGCTGGAGTGGAACTAAAGAAAGAGGGCGAGCAACCAGCAAGCGAAAGCACAGGTGAACCTCAACCATCCGGAGGCGTAGCAGGAGAAATTCCTGAAGCCTCCGAGGAAGGTGGAGAAGCCCCAAGATCTGAAGGTAAGTAGTCCAATCTCGTCAACTGCATATCACAAACTAATATTTCATAGGCGGGAAAGGTGGAACTGAACCAGCTAAGAATGAACCCAGTGGCGAGAAGCCTGCCCCAAAACCAGAGGGAGCGAAGAATGGAACCGAGCCGGCTAAGGAAGTGAAGGGTGAGCCGAATGGTGAGAAACCTGCACCAGCAACGGAGGGTGGTAAGAATGGAACTCAGCCGGCTAAGGGCGAACCTAAGGGTGAACCTAAGGGTGAACCTAAGAGCGAACCTAAGGGCGAACCTAAGGGTGAACCTAAGAGCGAACCTAAGGGCGAACCTAAGGGCGAACCTAAGGGCGAACCTGAGGGCAAACCTAAGGGCGAACCTAAGGGCGAACCTGAGGGCAAACCTAAGGGCGAGAAGCCTGCTCCAAAACCGGAGGAAGCTAAGAATGGAACAGCACCAGCGCCAGCGATTGATCCTGCGATTGCTGAGGAGGCTGCGAGACTTAACGAAGAAGGAAGGAAGTTAGCGGAGGAAGGAAGGAAGTTGGGAGAGGAGGGGAGGAAGTTAGGGGAGGCGGCGAGGGGAAACGCGAATGCAACGACACCTGCAAATCGTCCTGCTGGTTCGGCGGCACCTAAGTTACGATGAACGAGGATGTGAGGAATGTATGTGATGAGAGTGGAGTTCATGGTGAGACAGAAAACTATAAATTGTCAAGTGAGCGATTCTTTTATATATATTTTCATGTTGTATTATTAGGACACAAAAATAGATACCTTCGATTGAATATGTACAGCCGAATTTGCGTTTTCTCCTCTCTAATCCCAATGCTTCCAAGTAGCAACTCGGAAAAGTTTGAAGATTATAGAGTATTGTAAAATAGCGTCCCACTCTACATCCTGTTCTACATAACTCAATTATTAGGTATGGACATTATTCTATTCGGGTACAAGGGCCGAGTATCTTACTGTAAAAGGGTGATCTTTCGAGCCCGATCGACTCACCGAAGAGTTCGTTGCCGTCATGGGCACACTCGATCGAACACCCCTGCTTTAACCGAATCCAAGTTTCTTAAGCGAGGGCCTACAGTACTCGTATTTACTACCAATAGCCAAGGACCCGGTGGACCTTCGATTCTATCGGTAACGGGAATATTAGTATATCTGGATATGCCGGTAACGAGGCGGACCAGGGGATTTTTGTACTAGTAAAAAGGCTCCTACGGGAGATCAAGAGAAAATGGTTTATTCCTGAGACTTGATTACGTCCTGGATGTAGGACGTCTATACCGGTACCAAGAATACTTGTTGGCTCCGGAGTATATAATAGTTAAGTCTTTATAGTGAGGTGTGATTACTAAGAGTTTTTTCCGACCAATCAGAGAATTAAGGAGTTTTGGATTAATTTTTTTTTTTGGTTTTTTTAACTACCCGCAAGAAGGGTTGGTGCCACCAAGCCGGCGGTCTTGGATTTTATCCTATCTTATATACATTGTCTTTGCACGAAGCGAGACAGGGGTTTAATTGGCTCTCAGCGTTCCCGGGGTGGACCCGAAATAAAACAGGTCAGGTGATCGGGACTTTTTGGTGGGCACGTGTGGCACGAAAGAACAGCCCGCATCGAGCGCAAATCGTGTCTAAATTGTTTAGCACTTTGTATTAGGTTGTATTAGTACCTATATTAAAATCCTGCCTTTTTATCCCGTTGTTTACTTATAATTAGATTTAAAAGTAGTATTTAATAGCGATTTACGGTTACGACTATAGATTTTAGTGGGGTTTTTGCTACCTTACTAATACGAGGCACCAACTTTTCGACTTAGCCAGACAGAGGGTTAAAACTCCGGGTCAGGTGACGAGCCTGTCTACCAACTCTAATTAGTATATAAGACTCTAGACAGCTTAACCCCACCGCAGAGCCTGCTACAGACATTAAGGATAAAAGAGATATCCTAGTACGCAACCTTCTATGTAACACAGCCGAAGCAGGAGATATCCCCTTTAGCGCCCCTGCTGCCCCTGTCCGAGAGATCCTTTTTCCTCCAATCACAGCACAAGATGTCTGTAAAGCAGTGCTTGAGGCTGGGAATACAGCCCCAGGGATTGACGAGATCCCTACAAAAGTCCTCCAAGTAGCCTGGCCACAGATATCTAGCTACGTTCTAACCCTCTTTAAGTACTGCTTAACTAGCGGACACTGCCCCTCCCCCTTCCGAGCAGCGATTCTTGCAATTATCCCTAAACCCAACAAGCCTGACCGATCGTCCCCACGGTCGTATAGACCAATCGCTCTTCTGTCAGTCCTTGGGAAAGGGCTAGAGCGGCTTCTTGCGAAAAAGATGTCCTGGCTTGCAATCACATACAAGGTGTTAGCAAGCCAACAGTTTGGAGCTCTTCCACTTCGGTCCTCAGTGGACCTAACAACATGCCTTACCCACGACGTAGAACAAGCCCTAAACAACAATCTCAAAGCCTCTCTTCTAACAGCAGATGTTAAGGGGGCTTTCGACGGAGTACTACCAGGCAGGCTTGCGCGAAGGCTTCGCGAGCAGGGCTGGCCAGACAATCTTGTCCGCTGGGTACAGTCCTTCACAACGAATAGAGCTGTCCAAATACGCCTAGACGGCGAGACAGGCCCGCTCACAAGCGTCACATGCGGCCTCCCTCAAGGCTCGCCTATNGTCCTTCACAACGAATAGAGCTGTCCAAATACGCCTAGACGGCGAGACAGGCCCGCTCACAAGCGTCACATGCGGCCTCCCTCAAGGCTCGCCTATCTCACCAATCCTCTTTATGCTATATATAGCGCCTGTATTTTGGCTAGGCCGCCCGCTACGTAAGTTCGGCTATGCAGACGACATTGCACTCCTAGCAATCTCTCAGAGCACAAAGGACAACTGTATATCTCTTCAGCAAGACCTCCAAGAGA